TGGGGTGTCGTTGGGTTTTCGGTACGGTTGGTTGGTTCCTGTGGAGAGGCTCATTGTGATGTCTAGGTAGTTAACAGCGTTCAGGTTGACGTCTATCGTGATTTTTAGCCCCAGCGTCTTGAAGGTGTCGATGACAGCTTTCCTTACTTTGTCCGCACTGTGGCCAGTGGCGTTACGGAGGACGGCAAGCCCGTCGTCTCTGTAGAGGCCTACCGAGCCGCTACTGAAGTGCTGTTCGAGTTTACCCAGGAGGAAGGCGCCGACCAGCTCACATGCTTCAGCGCCATCGAAGGATCCCATGGTAACATCGAACAGCCCGTCTCTGTTTTTCTTTGCCCATGTTCGGTTAGCTCCGAATAGCAGTGACTGCCTCGCGTGTAGTATTATGTCGGCGTCACAGTCAGGAATTGCCACGAACTGCTTAGCGTAGGCGAGGGCTAGGCTCAGCAAGTTTAACCGGAAAAGCCCTGCAACTGCCGAGACAAGCCATCTTGTCCACTCAACGGTGAATGCCAAACGACGGAGCTGATATATGTGGCATCCATAACGTCAGGCCCCACCAAAAAGGAATACACCGGTATGTCGGCGCCACCATTCAAGTCACGCCATGCCAACCACATGACTACAACAAGATACGAGAAGTACTCCAGCTGCACTGAGTTCTCCAACTACATCTGGAAGCTGAAGAAATCCAACGCCCAATACGAAGTCGAATGGAGGATAAAAGATCGCGCCCGGGCATACTCCAACATCACGAAGCGGTGTTCCCTCTGTACCAGAGAAAAGTATCACATCCTGAACACGCTAGGGTCACCGTCCAGCCTCAACAAGCGCTCCGAAATGGTGTCCAAGTGCCGACACGAGAACAAGTATCTCCTAAAAAACCACGGTGTCACCTAAACATGTCTCCACAGCCTCCTGCCCACACCATTCACGTTCACACACCTTGCTCATAACACCCTGCCCACACCAGACATATCCATTTACATTGCGCTATTATCACACTGCTAGCTCTACAGCCTCCTGCCTACAACATCCACACGCATTGTTCACCACCTCCTGCCCACACCAGCCACACACGTCGCGCTCACACTGCACTGCTAGCCCCTGCCTTCAACAACCACACACTCTGCCCACAGCCCCCTGCCTAAAACATCACCGCTACTGCGCTAGCCCCCACAGTCTCACACAGCTTTTTATACCACCCTCTCCTGGCATATATACTGGCATGGTCGGCACCCGATCTTCATGTTGCCTGATGATTGCGTAAGCATGAAACTTAAAGTAGCAGCAAACAAGCCTTGATTGTCCTTGTTGTTCTGTTGTGTATTACGCTCTGCCTTTGTGGTGTTGAGCACTGTCAAGCACTCTGGGTACATCCTTCGGGTAATAAATATTATTATATTAATATTAATGTTTTTACAATAAAATGTTGTAGAATAGCATTGTTTGGTTGAGGAAGGTTACTCTTTCTCGCTTTCTTCGGAAAGGTTGGTATTTATTGGACATGGTTAGTCTGGTTTGGTTTGGGTGGCGGCGAGACAGCGAGACAGCGAGACATGAACGATGAGAATATTCCAACGTTCTGAATTTTCAGTAGCAAGTTTCAACGCCCGCGGACTGACGTCCACATTGAAGCGAGAAGTACTCCGACTGGACCTCAAAAATAATCGAATCGACATTTGCGCTTTGCAGGAGACGAAGCTATCGGCTGGGCTTGCCGAACTGAAGGACGGGTTTCGCTTGATATGCCCAGCGCCGGAGTGTAGGCACTATGTCTTGGGCTTCGCTGTTTCATGGTCCCTTTCGAGCAGAATCCATCAATTTTGGACGTTGTCCGATAGAGTCGCAGTGCTCACGCTACGGGTCGACGACGCGACCGCTGGTGGCCCGGCGCCATCCGCTACTCCGCTTCTGCCCAGCCCTGGTTCGTCGTCCCTGATAGCTGTAGTAAATATATACGCTCCAACTTCAACTATCTGTGCTCGTGATGCCGAGGAGTTGGATAAATTTTACGTCACCCTAGCCAAGGCGTACAGCCAAGTGAAATCATCGTCAGTAGTTCTGCTGGCTGGCGACTTCAATGCCAAGGTCGGCGGTGACCGTAACTCTCAAGACTCATGTGCGGGGAGGCATGGGCGAGGCAAGAGGAACCTCACTGGACAGAGCCTCGTCGACTTCTGCAATAGCAATAACAATAACCTTTTTCTGTGCATCACCGCATTTCAGCACAATGCTCGGCACAAGACGACATGGACTGGCTGGCGCAAGGACCAGAAAACCAACACCACCGTACCTATCTACAACCAGATAGATTACATCGCATGTCGATTACAACAGAAAAGGCTTATGACCGATTGCAGGAGCTATGGCGGGTGCGAAACCTCATCGGACCATCGGCTCGTAGCCGTGAGAATGGACATGCAAAGAATTTTCGGTATTTTCGGTCGCGAGAAGAGTGCCGTGGCCAAAAGGGAACGTACGTGCATAGATACATCGAAGCTTTTCGATCCTGCAATCCGGACCACATACAGAGAGAGACTGGCGAACGAGCTGGACACAGCAGCTTGTACCTGGGATAAAACAAACCCATTTGACACGTGCAACAATGTGCTGCAGACGGTGAGCAGAATGGCCAAGGACGTTTTGGGATACGTCAACCGTAGCAGACACCAGAAATCAGACCCTGCGATACAAGAGCTATCACTCAAGCAAAAGAATATTCGTCTGAGTATCAACACCCTCCACCAACACAGCAGTCAAGGGCAATCTGAAGAGACAGCGAAATGACCTTCAACACACCATCAGAGACAAGTGTCGAGCCAACGCTGAGGCGCTTCTGGAGGCCAAAGCAGCAGAGATTGAGAGGCTGAAGGACGGGGCACGCATGTTTAAGGCTGTGCACCTCATGAGACGACGGAAAGCCCAGAAACCGGCTGTGGCGGACGAGATTGGACGGTTTGCTGGCAGCGACGGTCAAGCGGCAGCTGTCGTCAGAAGTCACTTCATGAAGCAGTTTCAAGGCGATGTGGCATGGACCCATTTGATGGAGCGCCGAGGCATCTCAACAAGCCCATTACATCTGCAGAAGTGATTACCAGCTTTAAGAAACTTAACAACGGCAGAGCAGTGGGCCCCGATCTGGTCCCGGCGGAGCTGCTCAAGTATGGAGGGGATGCTCTGGCGCCAATATTTGCCACGATCTTGAATGGAATGTTTGAGATGCACGAGCACATCGACCTGGGCAAGGGGACATTAATCCCGCTCCAGAAACCCGGCCAGCCAGTTGGACCTCCGAGTAACCTTCGACCAATTGTTCTGCTGACGGCACTGCGCAAAGCCCTCTCCATCATTACTCTTCAGAGAATATCATCACAAGTAGAACAATATCTCTCTTCAACGCACAGCGGTTTCCGCAGAGGCAGGTCAACGGCGGATGTGGTCTGGAGCCACCGTTGGTATGCTGCAGCCTGTCAGAAATACAAGAAGCAATTGGTAGTCCTCGGCATCGACATGTCAAAAGTATTTGACTCCATCCGCAGAGACCGTCTTCTGGCAGTTCTCAATTACTTCCTGCACGAGGACGAGATCCGTCTAATCCGTGTCCTACTAGCCAAGACGTCCTTCTGTGTACGTATCGGCACAGCAACATCCGAATCCGCTGATACCACTATCGGGACGCCCCAGGGCGATTCCTTGTCCCCTGTTCTATTTGTGGTATATCTCGAGGCAGCTTTGCAGGATGTAAGGAGCACTGCTACTGCCAGGGCTCGGCCATCATCGGATCTCGGCTTGCCATTTGAAATTGCGTACGCCGACGGCGCGGTTTTCATCAGCACAGAGTCTGGCTGGTTGGGTGACCTGGAGCCGGTTATCAGTGACGTCCTCAACGGATGGGCTCTGAAGGTAAACCCGGATAAAACAGAAATTACCGTTCTGGGCCGATCCCTGGACAGGGTAGCGAAACAGTGGCGCACCACCAAGAAGCTCGGCTCACTCCTCGGGGATAACGAGGATATCTCTCGGCGGAAACAACTAGCCGCTGCAGCGTTTCGATCGCTCTGGTCACTATAGAGCAGGCGCAGTACCGTTGGAGAAGAACTGAGGCTTCGTCTCTACAATGCGTTTGTACTACCAGTGCTAGTATACAACGCCGGCACATGGGGACTCAAGGCAGCTGCCGAGGGTAGACTCCACGCATTCCACCGCGGCCAGCTCCGTTCACTGATCGGCTTCGTCTGGCCGTAGAAGATCGCAACAACAGCACTCTACGACAGGTGCAAGGCAGAGCCGATCAGCCGCATCATCACCAGAGCTCGGTGGAGGCTATTAATTTTGGCCATGTCCTTCGACTTCCCAGTGATGCCCCCGCCGTCCTAAGCATGGTCAGCTACTTTGAATGTGATGACCACAAGTGGAGAGGCCGCCCTCGCATCACCATGCATGGGAAGCTCGACGACGACCTCCACTGAGCTGCGTGCGGGCGATTGCAGAGCCTGGAAGATCTGGAGCGCCTATCAGACGTAGCTGCAGTTTGAAGCGAATGGAAGCAGCTACTGGATATGATCTGTCAGTAGAGGTTGCGGCGATGAAACCGCGCCGTCACCTTTTTCCCAGATCACGGAAATATCCCTCAATACACTTTAAACATTCTATACACAAAGGATTTACAGCTACGTTTGTGCTTGTTGTCTTTATGTCTCCTATATCAACTGCTTCTCTTACCATGTCCAGCATAAGCGAACGTGTGGACTGCGTTTGTGCATGGGCGACTTGCACTTGCACCGTTGACACTGCCGCGGGAATGCATATAATAATAATAAAATAAAAGAATAGCATAGTCTAAATCTATTTCACCAAGCTACAATTGTGGTGATGAACACAGACCCTCTCAAATATCAAGATCCATCTACACCCCTTAGGCACTGTGTGTATTGTCGGCCTCCTAGATCATGACTTGTATAACATAACTTGATCTGTGATTTCTTGTTTCTATGCAGTGCCGTGCCGCGCCCAACTGCCAACACATTTCCTGGAGACGTCCCACCCCGTAACGGACAAGGCCGGCGCAGCACATTGTGGCCAGACAGCTGCAGACGTCATTCTAGTGGTCGATGAGTCCAGAAGCATGGAGCCACACTACAAAGACAGACTCTGTCAGATCGTGGGAAACCTATCCGTGAGCCTTGAGGAGCATGGCATTGGTCTCTACCCTGGCAAGCCGAACCAGTATACAGTTGTTGGCTTTGGCCATTTGAAAGGAGAGACGGGGTCTGATGGCCTCGCTGGACCACACGTTATCCGCAGTAACACTGGTCGTCAGGTGTACGACCTCGCTGGTTTCCGGGAGGCATGCGCTAAACTACGGAATACAGGGTCTGTGGAGGACGGCTACCTTGCCATTAAATATGCGCTGGAGAATATTACCTCTGAAGGAAGTACGTTACTCCGATTGAAGCGCAACGACGTTGCGCCAATCATCATCTTGGTATCAGATGAAGACAGGGATATCCAACTACAAGGGAAAGGAATTACACGCAACTCCATTAAGAAGTTGATACGCAAGAGTGGAGCTACCCTCGAAGCCATCGTGGACAACAGCATCTGGTACAACAACCAGCGAGGCTTTGGAATGGATTCCAAAGGCACATTGTACATTGCTGAAAACACTACACACTACACAACATCAAACAAACAGCAACACCGCCGCTACTTGGCTTTGCATTACCGGAACACGCGCAAAGACTACTCTTCCGTTGCCCTGGAGCTGAAGGGCGCTGTGTGGGACTTGAACTCGATACTGGATAGTGATGCGCTGTTTGCTTCACATGTGAACGCATTCGTTGAGAGTACTGTTACCCATGTTGAGAACAGGGTGCATAAGTGTTGCTCGTGCCAATGTGCTCACGGACCGGAGCATAGCTCTTTGCACTGCACGTATGCATCGTCTGTTCAGGAGTGCAAGCGTCCCTAACTCGCCAATGGTTGTTACGGTGTATCCCCTGTGTTGTTCTGAAAAAGGTGTTTTTGACCGTTTTTGTTCCGTGACATTTCATATCCGTATGCACAGTAACACAGCAGTTGTGGTAGCAGCAAGAGTTCATATGTAGTCTTGGTAGGAGTAGTATTTTGATAGGGAAGGCCCTACAGACGTTGTCGTCTTGTTACAGTTCAACACTTCACACAGTATCTTCCCATTTTGCATGCAACCAAATGCCATGTTTGCACTCTCATTCAGATTCGCACTGTTCCGCAGTGCAGTACATTTTCATTTTGATCCTGCCTTTCTGAGTACAGCTCTGTTGCGAAGCGAGTTAGTTTAATTTTGCTATTTTACATGTTTTAGTTCTAAAGACTTTATCATGTTTCGGCACTGCAGCAATTTGTAGCTTTCTCTTAGTCTAGACGTCTATGCGGTAGATATTGTACTATGAACTCTGTACGGCAAGTTCTGACACATGCAAAGTTTGTAGCCTCAGACCCTCTAGGTTTACGCAGCCATGCCAGAGCTCGCATTTTTCCCAACTGCTGCATACTGCTGTCCCAAAATAATGAAGTGCGCGTGCTCCGTACGATGTTGCACTGCCACGTTCACTTATCGTTTAAATTCTCTTGCAGTCCGAGCAAATAAATCAGTTATCAACTGATCTCCTAACTGTGCACTTGCGGGCTTGTGCCGGTTAGTGACATGGTGCCGAAACCTGCTTCCTAGTTCCTCGCCACTGCCCCAACCCAGCCTTGGTCCTGGTTGACTCGCCCTTTGGGGTTTGAGTTGTGAAAATGGGCGACACAAGATTGCCGACGGCTATCCAGACGAGCAAGCGTGCTCTCAAGCTCCTGTACGAAGAGCTGCAGGAGGAAACGACAGTCGGCGAAGATCTGCTAGCAGGAACCAAACCCGTTAACCAGATAAGTCCGTTTCTTTGTGGTTTAAAGGAATTGTTGGAAATAACGGACGCTAACTTGAATGATTTTGTTCAGAATGTGGAGTAATATGAGCCAAAGGGTAAAAACAACAAAGAGATTAAGAATGGTTTGGAGGATGGGGCTGGGTTATGGACAGAGACACTAGAGAAGGGTCTCAAACTCCAGAGCAAATTGAGAAAAATGGAATTGGAATCAGGCGTCCAGCCTACAATGCAGACAGACTCTACCTTACTTGACATTACGAAATTGATTGGGACGCAAGCTAACACCCAAGAGTCAACCCAAAATCTTCTAACGAGATTGGTAGAGCGGGATACTAGACTCATAGTAGAGCGAGATACTATAACCGAATCGAAGCCCCAGACAACTGCCAGATTACCCAAATTGGAGCTAAAGTATTTTGACGGGGACATGATGGAGTTCCAAGAGTTTTGGAACATTTTCGATGCTACTATTCATGACAACTCCTCCTTGTCACCAGTTGAAAAATTGAGCTATCTCCGTGAATGTGTGGGAGGGAAAGCACAAGACATACTGAACTCTGTAATGCAAATTATGAAGTTGCCCGGGATCTGCTTGAGACGAGGTACGGGACTAAGCAAGCTACGGTGGATGCCCACTACACTGCGTTAATGGAGATGTCGGCCTGCACCTCAAAAGTCGGAAGTTTGAGGTCTTGTGTTGACAAAATTGAAGTGCTCCTTAGGAGCCTTGAAGCACAAGATGAGGATGTATCGCAAAAGGTCTTCATTACAATAATCTTAAGGCAAGCTCCCGAGTGATGTGAAATTACAACTTGAGCTCACCAAACAGAACGATGAATGGACAATTAGAGAATTGCGTTTGGCACTATCGCACTTACTAAAGGCTAAAGAGAAGGCAGAAGGACCAGCCGCATGCAAAGGTCACCAATCATGGCAACACGCCAATCACTCAAAGAAGATACTATCAACAGGGCAGTCTCTATTTGCGGGTGCTGGTGTAGCTCCTTCTATCAAATTTATGTATTGTGATGGAAAGCATTACTCTGATGAATGTCAAATGTACAAATCATTAGATGAACGGAAAACACGGTTGGGGATGAAATGCTACATCTGTCTGAAAGCGGGACATGGAGTAAGAGCTTGCATGAATGCTAGAACATGCTACCATTGCAAACGCAAATCCCACCACAGAAATCTGTGTCCACAGAAGTTCAAGTCAAATGAAGAGCGAAAAAATGCCCATCACTCCACCAATTCATTCGCAACCAGTGCCGCGGGACCTCCCGCGCGCCAATCCAGTACCTGACGGACTCCAATGGCAACCGCCAGCACGATGTGAAGGCGATTGCAGACACACTGAACAAGCAGTTTGTTTCATCCGGCATTCCGGAAGATCCGAATTGGGTCATTCCATCGCTGTCCCCAGCCCCTGAACTTAGCGCACCACTCACACGCGTCGTTACCACGACTGCTACCGTCTGTAAGCACCTCAAACTCCTGAAGAATTGTAAGTCCCCTGGCGAAGATGGCATACCCAATGAGGTTCTCAAATGGCTTGCGCCATCTCTGTCCTATCCCTTGTGCCTGCTCTTTAACATGTCATATCGTACAGGAGTATTTCCGTCCGTCTGGAAATCTGCTGTTATCGTCCCGATCTATAAGAAAGGCCAACGCTCTCAGGCTGGCAACTACAGACCAATCTCTCTCCTTCCCGCTGTGTCCAAGGTCTGTGAACGTATTTTCTTTGAGTCTCTGTACTGCCACGTCACCCCAGCGCTTTCACCATCTCAATCCGGTTTCTGCCGTGGAGACTCCACAACTTTCCAACTAACACGTCTAGTACAAGACATCTACACCCAGCGGAACCTCAGGCGGCATGTTGGCATCGTGTTCTTTGACCTAGCGAAAGCTTTCGACACCGTCTGGCATCGTGGTCTGCTTGCAAAGCTAGAGTCCGTCTTCTTGGTACACGGTCCAGCCCTGCAATGGCTCTCATCCTATCTTTCCTGCCGCCACCAGACTGTCAGAGTATCTACCTCCCTATCAGACCCATTACTAGTCGTGTCTGGGGTACCCCAGGGGTCCATACTTGGGCCGCTCCTATTTCTACTGTACGTTAATGACTTGCCAGCCATTGTACCAAATGTAAGTCTTTTTGCTGACGACACTGCTCTGATGTGCTCCGACAGCTCGGCAGACAACCTCACGGCCTCCATGCAGTCCGGGGTCAACGCTACAGTAACATGGATGGAAACCTGGAAACTGAAGCCTAACCTCGCCAAAACCGAGGCCATGTTCTTCTCTCCCTCGCCCCCCACTCAACTTCTGTATTTTCCTGGTCTAAATAGTACACCTATTAAAGTTGTTAACGAGCGCAAGCACCTGGGCGTTATTCTCGACGGCCAACTCTCCTGGTCTCCACAAGTCCAGTCTGTGTGCAAGCGTGCGAGTGCGTCCTTAGGTATGCTACAACCCCACTGCCAACACTTGAATGATAACTGCAGAAAATTGTTCTTTAAGTCGTACATTTTGCCTATATTTGACTATTGCGATATAGCTTGGTGCGGGTTGTCTCAGACTTTACTCCACAGACTGGAGGTACATCAACGCTTGCTTCTGAAAATTCTGTTTCGAAAAGACCAAACATTTGCCTCCCTTTGTCTTTATAAACTTGCTTCCACGCACCCTCTTCTTGCCCGACATCAGCAGCATCTTTGTATCCTTGTGCAAAAAATCTTCCTAGCCCAAGTCCCGAAACATATTGCCAAGTACAACTGGTTTGTTACCACTAGACCAACACGCAATGCCTTATCACTGCCCCGAGCTAGTTCCTCTCTGTTTTTGAAATCCCCTTTCTTCTCAGCATACTCCCTTTGGTCTAACCTGCCTACTAGCATTAAGACATGCCAGGATATCAGGAAATTCACAGTCCAGCTTTCCACACTGTCTCATCCGAAGTGATCCCATGTATTATTAATGTGCCTCCCTTTCTTTTTCTCTCCCTATCTCCTTTCCCTCTCTGACAGCATCTTCCTTTTTTTTCCCTTTTAGCTTGCCGTGGTTGGCTATCACCTGACCTCTCATGTTTATTGGCAGTCTTCGGACGGGCCAGGAGATGTTGAATAAATAAATAAATAAATAAATGATGGGAAGCATCGTGGCGATGGACAAAAACAGGCACGCACATTGAATGCAATGGCAGAGACATTTGAACCAACACAAGATCAGGCAATGGTTTCTCACACACAAGGGCACAGGGTTCTAATGCAAACTGCTTTGACTACTGCAACAAATGAGGAAGGCAACAGGTCACAGACTGTAAGGATCTTGTTTGACACGGGTTCATCGAGAACATACATCAGTGGGAATGTCAACAAAGCATTGGGACTAAAACAAGAAGGAAGTGACAGAATTTCACTTGCAGCCTTTGGCGCAACACACAGATCGGTAAAGGAATACCCTGTAGTCAATTTGCACTTCATGCAGAAGAATGGTGAATTAGCTTCCATACAGGCAAATGTTATCAACAACATTTCGTGTCCACTCCAGAAAGTACTTTTGAGCACAGCAAAGCACTCTAGCTTACAAAAGCTTATCTTAGCAGAGCCTTTATGCAATACACCTGAAGCAATGCCTATTGATATCTCAATTGGAGCTGACCAATACTTTCAATTTGTTGGCAGCAAAAGATGGGAATACCTAGATGGTCTCATTTTGATCGATTCCACTCTTGGGTTTTTGGTGGCAGGCAAGGTGAAATCGAACGGAAATGGTGATCAAACACTAATGTGGGGTTGGGGGTGCGAAGGAAACGCTAATTTTCACCGACCCTTGGGCAGGTGTGCCGAAAACACCCATATAGTCATATCCATGTTGTGACGTGCGCGCCCCAGAGGAAGGCCTGATTTCGCAACAAACTCGTGGTTTTACATCCTGTTGTCATTTCCCTAGACTACACTGTCTCTTTCTCTTTCAGTTAGGCGCTTGACAATTTGACGCGAGACATTTCGAGGTGGTCAATTCATCTAATGACATTTTGCGACTGTGCTGTTTCACAGCTTGATTTTTCGCCGCATAACACATTCGACGAGTACATTTCGGCGAAGTTACATTTTCACCACCGACCCTGTCGCCGAAATTCACTGAAAACTATAAGCTTTGGGTAAGCTTTCGTACTCGTACGAAATCCTTTATGTTGGTGACTCAATCGTGGACGCTTATCCCGATTTTACTAGCCTAACTTTGCGAGGCAAACCCAAACTATGTAGTAAAGGATGGGTATGCCTACGTGCAAGACAAGAGAGGAAGAAATGAGACTGTTTACTGGAGATGCGAAGGAGAGACGAGCTGTCCTGTCAGTTTTCATGATACAGGCTGTGCGACTACATGTGTACATGCACACCACCAGTTGATATGCTTTTTTATTTATTTATGGATTCTCCAAAGGCCGAGGCCTAAGTCGAGGGGGTCTCCGTTCATGGCGTACTGGGAATATGTCTGCAAAATTATAACATTATAGATTGAGAAGAGGAAGGGTGAGCTCCTGAAGAGGAAGGGTTATAACAAATGCGTACTGTAGAAATCAGCCATAACATTCGTTCCTATACGAACTTAGAAGTTGCGACTTCGGCGGTAATAGTCATGAAGTTGGTGTATTGAGCAGGGAGTGGTGCTTTCTTTCAGGTTTGCCGAGCGGAAGGTGCGACGTGCCCCTCGTGTGCTCCGGATGGCAGTCGTGAGTCAGTCAATTGTCAAGTTCGGCAAGAAGCGTGTGCTCCTCGTTGGAGCAACCAACTTCATTCGTTCCTATGTTACAGAAACTCTGGAAGGAATGAAACCAGCGGGTTC